AAGGAGGGCTCCAGAGCAAACGAATTGATGCAGCAGCCAGTCAGGCTGAGAGCGTGTGGCTGGCCCAAGGCCACCCCGTGAGCTTCCACGGCAGGGTGGAGATTTCATCCGGGGTCTCCCAGACTCCAGTCTGATGCTCTTACTCACTACGCTGCCCCTCTAATCCAAAGCAGTGTTGTCCGTTTCACTGCCTCAAAGCTCCATTACCTCTCTAGCTCCCCATTCTGCTGCATGTCTAGCCCAGACCTTTGGCAAGTTTCCGGAACACTGGCTGCAAAGAAAGATTCCAGAAAAGGAGCTCTACCGGTCAATTGTCGCAAATAAACAGGCAGCATGAGTCAGAGAAGAAGTGAATTCTGACTTGCTCAAAAGCCGATGCTGGAATAACTTATTCCGAGTGTTGCTGGTTTTTAAGACACCACGGGACTTTTGTTTTGTAAAGCAAGAGACTTTGGGATGTGGTTTCATCATTTTTTGCCACAAGGGGGCAATGTAACATTTCCAATGATCCTGAAAAGTTGAATGCCAATGCTGTAGCTATGACTTCTCTCCTGACTTCTCTTCAGTGCAGGGAATGACCATGCAAAAACCTTGGCTCAAGAGTTTGATGAACGCACAGAGTTACATCACATCACAATACCTTTAGGCTGCTTTAGGCTGTATTTCCCCATTTTGTAGATCCGGCAAAAAGAGAGCTGTGGAACCTCAAAAAGGCCGCAGACGGACAGACAGGGTGAAACTATGGTTGGCTTGTTAAACTAATGGCTCCTAAGGCTAGACCTGAAGGAAGCAAGGAAGGAAGCAAGGAAGCTGTCTAGCAAATGTCTACAAAGTTACTAGACCGTAAGTTTTTTCCTTCAAATCTTAACAAGCTGAAACCCACCACTGCAATAAAGTTGGTTCTTTAAGTGGTTTCATGGGAACAATTAAAAAATATAAATATTTACATAAACCATCTTTTTAACCCCATCGGGTTTTCAAGGCAAGAGACATTCAGAGGTAGTTCGCCATTGCCTGTCTCTACACAGCAACCTGAGATTTCTCTGTTGGTCTCCCATCCAAATACTGAGCAGGGCCAACCCTGCTTAGCTTCCAAGCTCTGATGAGATCAGGCTAGCCTGGCCCATTCAGGTTAGGGGGAGGCCAACTGTGACCCACTGAAAGCTAAGAAACAGCAGAAACCTTATCCATTTTACAACAGCAATAAACAGTAAAATCAGCCTAAACAGGGCTCTTTTTGTAGAAAAAGCCCAACAGAAACTCATTAGCATAATAGGCCATACCCAACAGCAGAAACTCATTAGCATATTAGGCCACACCCCTGACAGCACAGCTCATTAGCACATTAGGCCACACCCCCACATTACCAGAAGTGTGGTTATCCAGCCACACCCACCTTTTGCTTGTTATTCCGTTTACCTTGTTTGTTGTCAAAACCCAGGGCTTTTTTGTAGCAGGAACTCCTTTGCATGTTAGGCCACACACCCCTAATGTAGCCAATCCTAATGAGTTTCTGCTGTTGGGTGTGGCCTGTTATGCTAATCAGTTCCTGCTGGGCGTGGCCAACTTGGGAGCCAGCCGGAACTCCGTTCCTGTGCGTTCCTGCCCAAAAATAGCCCTGCTAAAGTATCAAGTTGTAATAATATCCCCCAATATCTTTAACTATTTTAAATTTGCTATTTATCTGTCAAAACATACCTGTGGTGCCCTCAAAACAGCAGCCCAGCTCATAAGGCGGCCTCACGCGTTCACTGAACACAGGAGGAGGAAGAACAGACACAAGTCTGCTAGCTCCACCCCCCACCTCCATGTGATCACATGACTATCTGCCAGGAGAGACAGTGTGGAGGAAGTGGCCATGCACCATGTGGAGGAAGAGGCAGGCAGTGGGACCAGTGCACCCACACCTGCTCTCCCTCTCCATGCGTTCCAGTGCTCTCATGTGTATCAGCCTATTTAAAGAAGTATGTCATAAGAACATCAGAGCCCTGCTAGATCAGACCAGTGGTCCATCTAGTCCAGCATCCCATTTCACACAGTGGCCAACCAGTTCTTCTGGACAGTCAACATTGGAATAGAGGCCGAGGCCTTCCCCTGATGTTCCCTCCTGACTCTGGGATTCAGACGATTGGTGCCTCTGAACGTAGAGGTCCCCCTCAGTCACCATGACTAGTAGGCAGTGATAGACTTATCCTCCATGAATCTATTGAATTCCCTTTGAAAGCTGTTTATTCCTGTGGCCATCACAGTGTTCCCCCTAAGCTGAGTTAGTGTGAGCTAGCTCAGTTTTTTAGCCTCTGGCTCACATATTTTTGTCTTAGCCCAGGAAGGACGGCTCCAGAGCAAACCAAATTATGCATGAGCCAAATAGCTCACTCACAACTTTAATGCCGGTGACTCACAAAGTAGAATTTTTGCTCACAAGAATGCACAGCTTAGAGGGAAGCACTGATCATCACTACATCCTCTGGCAGCGATTTCCACATTTTAATCACTCTTCTCTATAAAGTAGTTTTTACTTTTGTCTCTCCCTTCTTTATAAGTTCATCCCAGCATGTTTTCCTAGGGAAGCTTCTAACTTGCCATAGGTGACCAAGAGGGAAACTGAGCTCTGTTCTGAGGATACGAAGATGCTACATCTTTAAGGAGATGCACATGACGGTCCCACCACGTGACAAGCCGATGGAATCTACCAAGTGACCTGTGCATTTGAACGATGCTGCAAAGATGCCGTGTTCTTCCCTAGATGGATTTTCTCTATAAACGCGGCATCTAGCAAAAGACACCCTTCATTAATGATGCTGTTCCAAGCAGCCTGTTTATATGGTCAGATTCCTGTTTGGCAATATGTTTTTTCAATGAAGAGCTTTCATCAAAAGCACTGCCAGAAAACCAGTACCCTCTCTGCGATTCTCAGAACAGAATGAATGTCTCATTAAGGCAGACTTGGAAAGGCACTACATTCAAATGATTAGGCCACAAAGGAAAAAATTTCCGAAGGTGGAAGCTGTTAGAATCGACTTTCTGATTTTCAGTCATCTGGGCCTTATTCTTTCAAGGTTTTGTTTCATATGAAAAATCTCTTTTGTAGGGATTTTTTTTTTCCCCATTCAAAGTCAACAAACATGATTTAAGCGTGTTATGTAAGCCAATGCCATGCGGCAGCAATTACGATGGAGCGCATCTGCTGGTCTCATTTAAACGGCTTCCGAAATTGTTTCTAAAAGGCCGTTTCGACTCTGTAATAGCCATGATTAAAGTTGGGGTGACAGAGCCTGGCTGATTGGCTACATAGTCTGCAAAAGCAAAAACCCCAACTTTTTTTTTGTTGATGTAAATGCCCTCACGCTCAGGTCAGAGTCTGTTGTCACGTGCAACTAGACAGATTTTGTGCAGGGACCGAAGTCAGTGGGTACTTGTTTATATGGAATTCAGTAAAGATCTAGGCTATTTCTTAAAAATAAATACATGGCAAAAAGATAAGAAATAGGAAATAGAGAGGAATACGTCCCTTTCCTCTCTCATTTTTCTTCCTGTTCTCTCTTATTTTTCTCTTCCTTCCTTTGTCTGTTGGGGAAACCCACATTTCCCAGGGAATACACGGATTTCCCCCAACAGAACCCCCCAGGACTGTTTCACTTTGGGAAGGGGGTGCAGGGGGAAAGGTTATAATAGCCTCGGAGCTGGTTTGACAGCAGAAGGGAAATGCTGCTTTTAAGAATAAACTCCACATGAGGCTTGTTGCTTTAGAAAAGAAATGGATGTCCTTCATTGTTACAGAATGCAATATGATAGGAAAGAAAGCCTGAGCATTGTGGCTATCCACCCAAGGTAAGATGGAGAAAGATACTGGAAGCACATCTTGCTCTCATGGAGATCAGGAAGCGGAAGGGAGGGAGGGAGGGAGGGAAGGAAGGAAGGGAGGGAGGGAAGGAAGGAAGGAAGGAAGGAAGGAAGGAAGGAAGGAAGGAAGGAAGGAAGGAAGGAAGGAAGTCCCTAGAGTAGAAATCTGGGTAAACAAGGAGACAGCTGTGGAAGAGACAAGAGGAAGGATACAGAGGCGACTGACCTATCTACCTTACTAGCTCTTCTGCCCCCCTCTGGAATACTGATGTGCTTGATAGGAAGAGACATTATACATTCATTCCAACAGGTTGAAGACCCTTCTCCATGTGCACTGTGGTCCTGATCCTAATAAGACACCACCAATGTTCCCTCTAAGCTGTAGACTCCTGTGAGCAAAAATTCTACTTTGTGAGCAACTGGCATTAATGTTGTGAGCAGGTGATTTGGCTACTGCATAAATTAGTGTGTTCTGGAGCCATCCTTCCTGAGCTGAGACAAGGACCCTCAACTCATCTGGAATTGCTGGCTAGAGGGTGTACTGTGTACTCCATAATCTGTGAAAAGGCAAATTTAAAATTCCAGTGTGTCAATCCCAGATTAGAAAGGGCGCTTCTGCAATATGGGGGGGAAATTAGAATAAACATAGGCTTGGATATGAGGTGCTAAAATCTCCAGAAATGAGAGCAAAAGAACACCATAGGCACAGAGGGTAGCGCTAGGAATCGCCAGAAACTCTATGGTTTTACCACAGAGTTTCCAGTGATTCCTAGAGCTGCCCTTTGTCACTTCCAGGTTTTCTCCAGAAGTGACATAATGACTCTCACCACATTGTTCTACTCCCCCATGTCCCCCCACCCAAATCTCCCACCAATTGCCAGGTTCAATCCCTGGTGTTTCCAGTTTAAAAGACATCAGCCAGTGCTGAGGAAGTCCTTACCCTGCTCAAATCCCTGAACAGCTGCTGCCAATCAGAGTAGACAATATGGAAGGAGATGGACCAGCAGCCCCTCTCTCTGCAAGGTAACTCCATGTGGGAGTCGGTTGTGTTTTTCTGTGAATAGCTTCTCAGTTTCCAGAGAGTCTTACCGTTTGGCATGCAAGGCTGCTGTCCAAGAAACACAAGCCCCACTTGGGCTTGCAAAGCCAACGGTGTGACTCTTTCGACCCCAGCCTATGGATTTGCTTTTGAGACAGGCATGCTCTAAAAGCCAACCGGTTCAAAGCTAGCTACTAACGCTATCCATTTGGGCTGAAAAATAATAAGGCTTTCCATATCCTCAGTGGACCTGATGGCTCAGCTACTGATGTGGGGGGGGGGGGGATTGTCACACTTCCCAGCATGCCAAGAACTGTTTTTGGAAGACCAAACAAGACTCCCACAGAACAGGCACTGACGATCTGCTGTTGACGAAGAGTCCTCTTTATTAGTTGACGGTGGGCTCCCAAGGATCCGTAGAGGTTTAGCGATAGCTAGGGACTGGATGGACAGATGGAAGGGTATTTTTGTGAGCTGAACATAAGGCACAACTTCTGTGAGCCACACGCCACCGTCTCAAAGCCAAGCTACATATAATGCTGTGGATCTGTGATCCAATCTCCCAACATGGGCATCGATTTTTAATCATTCAGACCAGAGCTGCACTGCACAGACACAGAAGCTAGGCTGTAGCTAGTGTGGGGCCCACAGGGCGATGCCCTCTCCAGAATTAACAACGCTCCCCCCGAATCTGGCCAAGGGAGAGCTGGCGGGCTGAGCAGGCAGGGCTGGGGCATGGACGAGGCCCGTCCTCCTTCGTACGAGCTTCCAGGTCGGAATCTTCTTGCCCCAATCACTGGCCTTGCCCTTTAAAGTGCCTGTATGGGCCTCACGTTTGCAGTGCCTGACTGTTCCAGATGGGTGGCCTTTGGCAAGCAAGCCTATCCCCTCGCCTGGCCTGGTCTGCAAGTGTCCCTCCGGCAAGCACTGCAGCCCCAGGCAGGGGCTGGACACAGCCAGGCCACCCCTCCCTTTGACACATTGCTGGCCTGCCCCTTTTCTCCCTGCGCTGTTGGCCGTGGCGCCTCCCTCCCCTCCCGCCACGAGCTGCAGACCAACACCAAGCTCCAGCTCACCACCTTCACGCCACTCACCCAGTACAGCTGTTCCAGTCAGCTGCAGGTGGGTGCCCCTCACCCCCCCCCCATCCCCTCTCTCACCCTGTATTTATTTCATGGAAGATTCCTTACAACTCATGGTCAGTTTTCCCTCTAAGCTGAGTTAGTGTGAGCTAGCTCATAGTTTTTTAGCCTCTGGCGCACACATTTTTGTCTTAGCTCGAGAAGGATGGCTCCAGAACAGTGTTCCCTCTAAGCTGAGTTAGTGAGAGCCAGCTCACAGGTTTGTAGTCTCTGGTGCGCACATTTTTGTCTTAGCTCAGGAAGGATTGCTCCAGAGCAAACTAATTTATGCAGCAGCCAAATCTCTCACTCACAACTTTAATGCCAGCGGCTCACAAAATGGAATTTTTGCTCACAAGGCTCCACAGCTTACAGGGAGCATTGTTCATGGTGACTCCCTGGTGTTTTAATTAATTAATTAAGTTACACAACTTCAATCCATCTCAGTGTGATGTTCTTTGCTGTGGCCGAGATGGATTTACGCTGAGATGGGCCAAAGATGTGTAACGGAATTCTACAAAGAAATCTGACAAGGTTGTTTTATTGTCATGTTTCAGAGAGTGCCGGGTTTACCTTGAGAAAGGACGGACACGGGCAATGTTCCCTCTAAACTGTGGCGTTCTGTGAGCAAAAATTCTACTTTGTGAGCTGCTGGCATTAAAACTGTGAGTGAGCGATTGGGCTATTGCATCAATCAGTTTGCTCTGGAGCCATCCTTCCTGAGCTAAGATAAAAACTTGTGAGCCAGGGGCTAAAAAACTGTGAGCTAGCTCATACTAACTCAGCTTAGAGGGAACACTGGACACGGGGATATTTAGCTGGCCCGTTGGGAAGCCTTGAAAGTTGCTACACTTGGACTAAACGTACACGAGAAGAAACTGATGAGGAAATCCTTAGAACTGAACTTTGGCACGAGTACTTTATTTAGAACATTCATTC